TGGCGAGAATGGTGGTACCATGCAGGCTACATTATCAATAACGAAGATAAACATGGGCAACCATGTTTATTACTCTACTGTACTATTATTACAAAAACAAAATCCCCATCAATCTAAAATACTGGAAACATAGACATTTAATCAATGTCAATAATGCCGCCAGCTGATTATGATAACTAGTGTTATCGGATTATAGTTTTTTTTATGTTGAGTTGGTTGTATATGCGGCTATGGTTAAGTCGGGGAAAATTTGTAGAAAACACTAAAAAACAATATCAGCTTTTGGAAAAATGATCAAATGTTTATAAGAAAAGTTGACTATCAAACTGTTATGTACATTAAAGTGGGTCGAAAAAAATCACTAATTCTTTTTCAAGTTGTAATACCTTGGATGAGGATGAATGACCAAAACAGAGTTAAAATATTAAAAGTATTGCTTGTTATTTTCCGGTCACGCATGTGCTCTAAAGTTTAAACAAAAAATTAAAAACTCATATTTTATCAGACATTTAAAAAAATTTTAAATTTCCCATTTTTAATACATGAGTTAATAGTTGAAAATATCACCTACAAGACACTATGAAATTGATATTTAAATAATATCATTGTATGTTAATATCTTCCAGTCATGCATCGGCTGCAAATATTGCCAAAAATCAAGAAAAATGTTATTTTGTACTACAGTAGTCTTATTTAAAATATAATAATTGATATCAAAATGTAATACCAAAAATCTCTTTGTACACATTCAGGTAGTGACTTAACAAAAACAATAGACATAGTCAGAATTGATCTTCCGGTCGCGCATAGCAATACAAATTCAATTTAGCACGGCACTTTTGGGTCAGTGACTTTTAGGTCATGGGCGATGCCATGTGATTCCGAAGTTTAAGATTCTGAAATTGAACAACAAGATGGTGATGATAATGTATCCATGTGCTCAAAAACTAAAATGTACGATTTGAGTGACAGCAACCAAGAATATTTACCTAAACTTAAAAAAAAATACCTATAGAAGGCAAATGATGATTAACTCTACTTCATTGGTTAGCGATCGTTATGGTGTTTTAAATCGTGCTACAACTGCAATAGCCTCTAATGGAATACGAAAAACATCAAAACATAAACTTCATTTGTTACAATTATATGAGAACTCTCTCACGGTACCCATTCAAAGTTTTTACTTAGATCCTTACAAAACTTTACATGGATAATGTTTACCAAAAAACTGCGCCTCTCTGCGATTTCAAAACTATTACATATTAAAAATCTAAAATTTTAAAATTTTAAAAATTTCTGATAAAATAGGAGTTTTTCATTTTTGTTCAAACTTTAGAGCACATGCGCAAATACTATTTTTAATATTTTTACCCTGTGTCTTACAATATAGCAACTTTTCCAATAGCTCGAAAAAAATAAGTGATTTTTTTTTCGACCCACCCTAATGTACATCATGGAGTATTTCCATTAGTTACATAATCTTTGAGTTGACTCTTTTAAATTCATCACAAATTATGACTGTTATTCATTTAGAAATAACTCTGTAATACTTTTTAATACTGTAATACTCTGTAATACTAGGTACACTAGTAAAAACAAATCCAACAACTGATACATCTTCAACATGTTAAATGTGATTAAATAGAGCCGTTAAATTGAGGTTCGTGTCCTTAGGAGGGGGTTTATAAAAAAACTGAATTTTGGGGGAAGTTTCACATCAAGACCTTTCATTCAAGTACACAGTTGATAGGTCAACCCGTAAAAAGGTAGGTCAATCGCGGCTTGCGATTTTCTCTAAAGTTTGTGATCCTTGTTTAGCTTTCTTGATATTAAATGGTTTGTTTACTACTGTATTTGTTTAAAATTATATTTAGATTATACTAGCTGTGTGCCCGTTCTACGCAGGGGGATCTTATAGTAGTCAGTTGAAACCTTCTTATATTAAAAACAGCAGTTGGTTTGCATATTTTCAGATATGCTGGCAAAAATATTATATACACACCTTCGCAAATACAGTACCTATCTGATAGTTTCAAGCCAAAACGCAATTAAATGTCATGTCACCCCATATGTTAGTCCATATGTTCAATCCAATGATTAAACTAAAAAAGCTTTATAGCCCTACTATGAGAAATAGATCTATGAGTGATAGCCCTAAGGTAGGCCTATAGTTGAAAGTTACTTTCCACAATGGTTAAAAGTATTTAAAGTATAGGGTGGCGCAGATGGATCGGGTGGTTTTAAAATACTTTTCAAACTGTCAATTTTAAAGGTATTGGATTGAAATAAAGTGCAAAACGTGTAGTTACAATGGAAGTTTATTGACAAAAAATTAGTTAAGTTAGTTTTTAAAAATTACATCCATCAAATGCCTTCCTTCTCGAGCCACGCATTCTTGGAGTCGGTCCTTGAGGTTCCACATTGCTCGCTCAAGCACATCATCAGGAATTAATGTGATTTCGTTGTGAATTGCAGCCTTCAACTCCTGAATGGTCCGGGGTTTGTTCATGTAGACCCTTGATTCAGGAGTTGATGGCTGCAATTCACAACGAAATCACATGCCTTCGAAATCAATACCTTTAAAATTGACAGTTTGACAAGTATTTTAAAACCACCCGATCTATCTGCGCCACCCTGTACTACCTCAACCTCGCCATTTAACACTTTATTCGGGTTGACATTTTCATTATCAAAGGTGCTCAACTTGTCCTTTTCGTGACACTAAGAAATAAGGACACGTTACCAACAGACATACACACAAAAATACAGAACTTAATTAGGGAATTTGTTACGCTTTAAGCATAGCAAAGTACATATAAAATTAATATTTGAAATCTTTGTCAATGTCATCAAATTTTATTATAACAATTTATATTTGCTTGGACCGAAGATGACGCGAAATGCTGTCGAAATGACTGCTTACTATATGAAATGAAGTACTATAGACGATTTAGATTGGTAATTTATAATACAAATTACCAAAATAGGCCACGAACTATTGATACACAAACAACGTAAATCGTAAACAATTCACGATGGTTTGCTAAACAAATGTTTTACTTAAATGAGTTATCATTTTCTTAGCATAAACTAACATTTTGGAATCCAGACAGAAAAAGCAAAACTTATACAGTTAAGACATCAATTAAACTGAATACGACTGTATAAATAAGGTGCAATACCAACGATAACTAATTTGTAAATTACAGTGATGTGTTGGTACGTAAAAATGATTCTTTCTGCTACCAATGGTTTTAAGGAAAAAACCAGTACCAAAACCCAACGTTTACAGTTAGCAACTAAAGTACATTCGACCAATTAAATGCGTTAATCAAGTCCCAAGGTTATTGATTTCTTGGTTTTGAATTTTCTCGTAAAAAGTTATCGGCAATCAAAGTTATTTCCCATTAATTGCTTTATTCGTAAACAACTTTTAATGTAGGCCTTATTGGTGTCAGTTTAAAAAAAAACAACCTTATACAAAGAACTTTTCGTTATTTAATAGATTACGTATTCTCTAAACAATGATTGGTATATCTATTAACATTAGAAAGAAATGTGACAAAAATCACACAATGCTGGGTTTTTGGACGTTTGTAATTTTATTTCTTAAGTAGGGAGGCCGTGTATTCTAGGGAAAAGTACCGGTATCAAGGATCGTCGTCAAAAAGGTTGTTATGAATAATTGGGTAGGCGTAAGTACCCAAGAGATGGGCTATGGGCCTATTGGCTGTATGGTCCAGCGATTGCATCACACACTGAGTAGGAACAGAAAGTGACACATTGGAAAAGCGAGTTTAGCATCATCCATAAACCGTAAACCTCTGTTAGTCACCCAATGCAGTTGTTTACTTTACACTTTACACAACTGCCATTGAAGCGCCGTCAATGAGTGGAAACCTTGTTTGTAAGCTATTGGTGACGATCATTAATAAATTTAAGTTTCCCAGCCCTATACAACACTGATTCAAGGTCTTCTTTTTTTGGTTATCTAACCTCAAGAACAATTTTATACACAAAGAATATCTGGTTCCTGACCTGGATGACGCCTAGTTATTTAATTTCATTTACGGTTACACTATATTATTCCACTTGCGATTAGGTGTAATTAAATCCGTTATGTAAGAAAAACGTTTTTAATCTCACTTGGTTAGGATTTGACTTCAAAATGTGATCGGAAATGGTTGTGGTATTTGTAAACAACATTTGTATATCAGTGACAGCTAGAAAAAATAATCTTGATCCGAACAGCTGTTCGTTATTTCATAGATGATTATGTGATAAAAATTGGACGAAAACTCGTCAAAAATCGCACAAAACTGCATTTTTGAACGTCCGTAATTTTATTTAGAAAGTAGTGAGGCCATATTTTGGCTAAAGACACTCTCGCCAATCCAGTGAATACATTAAAATGACTTGGATCGTGATAGGTACTCTCGTTTTCCTGGAGAAGATTGCGTAAAATGCCATCTTGAGTGTTACAGAAAGACAGACAGACAGAAATTTAGATGAGACTTGTTTCGGCTTCTTTAATGTATAAAACGTAAAAATAACCTAAAACTTTATGATTCTGAGCAATGTACAGACAAAACTCTAATTTTATTTAAATAGATGCCTGATTTTAGGGTTGCTATGTATATTTCTTGCTTAAAGCAAGTATTTATGATAAAAACTAGTGTTATTGTTTTCAAAATATTCACTGTTAGGTTTAATGCCTTTAGGATTTGTTTTCTTAAAATAGGACTTTTAAAGGCCACTGGCGTAGAGTCCTGATGGAATTTCTTGAAAACGATTCTTATTGCACATCTAGAGCTTAAGTGGAACCTCTATGCCAATTCCTGAGTTCCTACAGTTTGTAGTTTTAGAGAAAAGTTTAGATTACCTTAAAAATTGATTTTGTTTCTGTAAAAGCGATCTTTCTATTTCTTTTTTCCCTTTATAAGTTATAGACATTCCAGGATTAACTCCATCTTGTGTTGATTAGTGATTGTTGTTTATAGCGTGGCACGCCCGGCCAGATGAGTCCCAACGGCAGCCTACTCACCACATCTGAGCCAGCGTTGGTGTCGCCCTCACGCACGCCACGACCTCACAGTGACAATGCGACATCACCAGACGAGCGAGCCACGCTACTGCACACAGCTGACACGTAACACGTCCTCTGGCACTGGCGAACGCAGGATGGCCCATTACCAATTGCAAATTCTAATACTACTCCATGGGTTTTTTTATTTTAAGATTTTTAAATATTTTTTTGTTCATTAATCAAACTAATTCAATTTAAATAGCAGCTAAATACAAAGATTACATTGCCTCAAGAAAGATTAGTGCATGAATGTGAATCAAATGCCCTTTGATTTTAAAATGGTTACAATATAACCTTCATGATTTTAATGTTAGTTTAATTATTAGTTTAGTTATTAGTTTGGTATTAATTATTCATTAATGAAATTGATTATTTCGAATGTACTGTGAGGCCTATTACGGAAAGACTCGGTATTAATCTAAATTTAACATTCATTTCACTTAGAATTTTTGTGGCCATCCTGCCTCAGAGTTTAAGTGGTGTTAAAAATATTTTACCTAATTTTAAATGCCAAAGAATTGGTTCTGTAATATTTTTGTCAGTCCTAGTAAAAGGATATTAATATAAGCTTTAGTCACTTTTTCTGTTGAACAGAAATAATTATTGGAAATGTTTTTGTTATGTTTAAATTTGTAACAATGAAACATTGTTTTAAATTCGTTATGTTTAACAATTTTATATTTTGTTTGTTTTTTTAGTTATTATTTTTTAGTTAATTTAAAATTATTTTAAACATGATCGAAGAACATGTCAAACATACTCCTAGATTAAAGAATCGAATTTAAATTGGTTTTATGTAATATGTTTACATTATATTTTAGATAACATGCTTGGTCTTTTTGACACAGCAAGTTGATATTCCAGTCAATTTACTTAGTACTTAATTAGTGTTCTTGAAAGTAGTAGCTTGCCTAACTAGAATCAACAATCAATTATTACATTTGTTACATTATTATCTCACTGCTCTATCTTGGCATGTGCTTGAGTTGAGACATCATTTAAAGTTTGAATAAGCTTGATGATAAACTCTTATAAACAGTATTGAAATGTTAATAAACCGCATTGAATTGTGGCAAGTTGGGTCAAAGCTTTGGTTATACTGTATGAGGAATTATTAAGCCCTGTCTATGTTTACAATGAATATTTTTTATTCTGAGTTCAAGCCCAGTATGAATTATTGTATTATTATTGTTATAGCTTTATATTTTAGTATACTCTAGCCATATTTAAATAAGTTATTTTAAGTGATCAAATGTTAAGAGTATAACATTCTACTTAATATCAAGGATTTATTTTTTATTCAACAGTTTATGTGTTTTACCGGTGCTTTTCATTTCGGACTGTTGTAGATATGTACTTAATACAACTAAATGTAAGCAATGTATTTGTGTACTTACTAGTAAACAGCAGTTGATAGTACCACATTGTTAAATTTTAAAAGAAACTGTTGTTAAGTTTATATTTTAAAAAGCAAAATTGATATGTACATGAATTAAAAAAATCTAGAAGATTGAATTGTATTTAATTTAACCTCTTATTTAACTTTATTACATGAAAACAATTTCATTGCATCAAAAAAATAAATAAATTGGTAAACAATAGCACTTTACCAGTATGTAAATAGGAACACTAGGTTCTTGAAGAACAGTACTTATTTTGCTTGATTCACAATATAGAAGTCTTATTCATTAAAGAAAGACTGTTTGTTCTAATAAATTCATTACTGTTGCATATACATTTAGTTGTAAAAAAGAAAGCTCTCCATAATGCATATCAGTATGGTATAGTAACACTAGACATCTTATACAATACATTTCCCTGCAACGAAGAACTACCATGGTTCCATGGTTCAGGTAACTTGGAGGTCCCTGATAGATTTTGAGGTTAGGGTGCCAAATAAGAAGTCAAATACATTGTAAATAGTTATTTGTGTAACTAGAGAGCAAAGTGGCACTTTGCTGCACATGAGAGCAACGTTTACACATGAGCCGCAGACGAGTTCGGAATGATCTCGAGTGTTGCAAAGGCCTTTTGCACTCGTGTTACTAATTATATTTTTCCTACAGTCACTATAAAGCATATAAATAATTAGTCTTTCAAACACTATACAACACGTTTTTAGGTTCAGCTGGCAACTCAAATAGGTGCCCTAGAGAAAGTAGTCCCCGGTCCGTATCACTCCGCTATTTTTTCCTCTGCAAGCAATGTGCCCCGCGACTAGAGAAAATAGTTCCGTATATTTTTGTCATTTGCAGTGGTTTCAGCGCCTAAAAAAATGCTTTTAAGGTATTTTCTTGTTTCTTAAGATCGTAGGAATGTTTTAAAAACGTTTAAAAGAAAAGTCCAGAAAGTTCAGAAATACCGAAAAGAGAGCATAAACTATAAACACAAAATGACAGGTTAAATCATAGTTATAATAGTCAATCGGCTGTTCATAGTATTATTATCTTTAAGTGTTGCCAACCTATGTCCATGCTTACACGGATTACGTACATAATAGAACCACGCTGTTTTGAGTTGTTTTGTTAGAATCCTGATGTTCACCAAAGTATAAACCATACGACAAAGTATAAATATGAGCAATTAGCAACTTTCTGTACTATAAACAGTACAAGGAAGCCAACTTTGTCGGGTGACTGTAGGAAAATGTATGTTTTCTTTCAGAATACATAGTGAGTGAACTAATCAAATGGAATTTCCATGCACACATATTTTTTTTTAATAAGCTAATGTTATATAACAATAACACACACATTCTCAACAATGGTCTTGAGGAGGCCATAAGTTTGGGAATAATATTTCCCAATGAATACCAAATAATTGTCTCAAATCTTCTTAGTAGATCAAAGATCTCTTTTGTTGCCTCTGGTAACATCGTTGATTTGTTGGTTGGATTGGTTTGTGTTATATCAATGGTTTTGTCTATAAGCCAAGCCTATATGACTGTGGCGACTAGCGCCACTTCTTCTCAAGCTCCTGCTCCTCCTCGGGGCATATACTTGATGACTGCTTGTCTATAAGTGTTTTTGTTGATGTAGGTTTGTGTGTAAATTCTCTGTATAAAAGAGGCAAGCAAATGGTGGTTTTGTATGCGCCAACCCTGAGGTTTTATCAATGTAATCATAGGAGCTCTTTAGGCTGTGGTTATTGTCTAGCACTAACAATATACAGGGTGGGGCAATGAAAGCGCCCCAATTTATAAACAGTACAAACTCAATAATATTCACCATATGGATATAAATAGCACACCAAAACACAGCTTATCTTTTGCCATTTTAACTTAACAAAGTCATTTTTCCATTTCTTGAGAACAAAATCCTACAAGTGACTTCATTGTCCTACTTGACATTCCTTTTTAGCCACTTGAAACTCCATCAAATACTCCTCCAGCACTTCTTTAGGAATCACTTTAGTTTTAGGACTATCCTTAGCTTCGGTTCAAACAAATCTGTGGGGTGACTTTGAAAAACCTAGAACGTCAAGTAGCTTCTTATTAGAACAACCCCCCCTCCCAAAACAATTAGCCAACGTAAAGCTTTCAACAACAAAAGCTTCCTGGCAAATCTCTTCGGACTTTGAGTTACTGGGACTCATATTCTTTTAACATTTGCTGGTGTACAAAGAGTTTTGCGGCACCCACCGATTATTTTTTTTTTTTTGTTTAAGCGATTATCCTAAATAATTTTACCCAGTTCAACATTGTTTTCCAATCTGGAACAGCGCCATGTTGACAAAGGATGGAATACGGTCCAAACAATCTCTGGGTTTTTGCACAAGAACCACTATTTTATAAATAGGTTTCCACATCAATATCTGTGTGGTTATAGCCTCAGGCATAATCTATCTATACTTATTTAATACGCAAGCAGGTTTTTTGTGACAATTAATCCTCCGAAACTACTTAACCGATTGACATGTTTTTGGTGTCATTGGAAAGAGCCTAACATTAAGTTGTGCAGGAAACTTTCTTTTTAGGGAAACTAGTGTACATGTTGCTCGAAATCGAGCAATTTCAAATAAGTATAGGAGTTGAGGAGTTACAAATAAACAAATGACTTGTTTAAAAACTAATAACAGTCATAATTTCCGATGATTTTAAAAGAGTCAACTAAAAGATTATTAAGTTAACTGATAAAAATACTCACAATTTACATAACAGTCCTATTCCAGTTTAAAGGGTTTAACTATCAAACTGTCCATGGACGGGAAAAGGTAAGCTTACAAATTAAGTCAACGTAAAAAGGTTGTCAGCTTTTATAATGTATCGTACCTAAGTTATTTAGCCCATTTGTAGGTGTAGTGTGTAGGCTACTTTAAACTCTACAGAACCTAGTTAGGCAAAAACTGGCAGAACTCTGAAAAGGAGTTATTTATCATAGGCATACTCATATGCCAAATCCTAAAAAAAAAAATGCAATAATTAATAACTTATCATTAAACACAAACCAAAATCCAACACTATACACATTTTTAATACAACATAGATGATTTACACATTGACTGTTTAAAATTTACAACATGTGTTTTTCTTCATGGATTTGACAGCTCTAGTTGTTTACATTTAAATGTCAAAGCAAATGTAATATTTAATTTCTGACAACAGCTGGAGTTTCAAAACAATGTTTCTTTCCCTTGTTAATCTTATGGAGAAATACGAAACTTTAAAGGGCCCCAGGGCCTTACTCTCTAATTATTTACCTAAAAAGAAAGTTTCCTGCACAACTTCACGCTACGCTCTTTCCAATGACACCAAAAACATGTCAATCGGTTCAGTGGTTTCGGAGGAGTAATTGTCACAAAAATCCTGCTTGCGTATTAAATAAGTATAGATAATTAGAGAGTGAGGCCCTGGAGCCCTTTTAAGTTTCGTATTTCTCCATAAGATTAACATGGGAACTAAAATTGTTATGAAAATCCAGCTGTTGTCAGAAATTAAAGGTGAGAAGAAGAACATATATTAATTGTAAACAGTCAATAAGGTTGCTAATTTAACAGTTTGCTACAAACATTTACTGACTTGGTTGAAATGAAATATTTACTATTTGAATTTGGGTTGGCATAAATATTACATTGGGAAAAAGCGAGAGATCCTAGATAATTGTACTAAAAAGAAAACGGAATTAACACTGTGCTGCATTTCTTAGTAATCATTGAAAGAGCCGATTTGCAAACTATGGAAACATATGAAAACTATGTAAACAATGGAAACTATGTAGAAAACCCTAAAAAACAAGATCAGCTTTTGAAAAATAATAAGATATTTACAAGAAATGTTGATTATATCGATCTGTTATGTACATCTTGAGTACATATTTCCATAATCTTTGAGTCGAATCTTTTAAAGTCATCAGAAATACTGTTATTTGTTTTAAAATAACTCCTGTAATTCTTAGCAATTGCTCGAATTCGAGCAACAGGTACACTAGTACTTATTTAATACGCAAGCAGGATTTTTATGACAATTACTCCTCCGGAACTACTGAACCGATTGATATGTTTTTGGTGTCATTGGAAAGAGCGTAACGTGAAGTTGTGCAGGAAACTTTCTTTTTAGGTAAATAATTAGTGAGTGAGGCCCTGGGGCCCTTTAAAGTTTCGTATTTCTCCATAAGATTAACATGGGAAACAAACATTGTTTTGAATCTCCAGCTGTTGTTAGAAATGGAATCTATCTATATATTAATAGGCAAGCATGTTTCTTTAAAACCTTTTTTCTCAGCTCGTGTGCATCGTAGGGAAAATCTACGCATACCGTTGGAAAGCTATTTTCCTGTAGGTGTGCAGAATCCCTTTATAAATTTAAATAGGCTCAAAGATAAGCACAAAAAATGAGTTTAAAAATTTGAAAAAATTAACATGGATCTTATGCGTTGCTATGCTGGTTACGAAATAACAACGAAATATAAACAGAAAATCAAAACAAATGGAGGAAACTCCAATCACATGTTTTATTTACAGTGTGGGGTGAAAATAGATAAGTGAGTACATTACATATTTTTGGTCGAGTTTCGACCACTGGACGACCTCTCGTATTAATAATTTGTCTCCATGGAAGCATGAGAAAATTCACAATGTTTACATTTGCTTTGACATTTAAATGTAAACAACCAGAACTGTCAAATGCCTATTTCACAATTTCAGACAGCTGATAAAAAAAAATAATTAAACAACTATGTGGTAGGTTTATTCAATCTTACACTTTATGATAGATTATTATTTTTATTATAAATTGTGTAAATTGTGAGTATTTCCGTTAGTTAATAATCTTTCAGTCGACTCTTTCAAAATCATAGAAAATTATAACTATTATTAGTTTTAAAACAAGTCATTTGTTTATAAATAACTCCTGTACTTCTTTGCAATTGCTCGATTTCGAGCAACATGTACACTAGTATTTACTAAAATGGCATAGTTTAATTGATGTTTTAAGCACAGCTGATCATTCATTGTTGCAGCAATTAACATGTGACAGGTAAAACAAATCGTAGCGTTCTCATTGCCTCACCCTGCATAAT